CTTAGACAATATCCTTAGGTGCATCGTATATTTTTTTATAAGACCGTTAATACTAAACCATTCGATCTAGCAAAACAGTTTTTCCCGCTTCGTTTCCGCGCCCCGGTAACTAGGCTTAGGGCGCGTTCCCACTATGTCGTCACGTTTTATTATCGTTGGACGACTGTCGTGTCTAGCCTGTTCCCATATCACGACTATCTGTCGTGGACGATTTTTTATCGTTGAACGACTGTCGTGACTAGCTGTTCCCACTAGATCGTGACGACAATTTATCGTGTCACGATAGCCTTCTTGCCTATCACTGGCTACGACCCAACGCTACTGCAAAGCGAGCAGAGGGCGCGGGGTACGAGAGGGGAGGGCAGGGAGCAGAATACGTGGGGACAGCAATAAATAAAACGTGACAATAGGAGCTGTGACAATCTGTCGACACGTTTTTATCGTGACGTTTATTTTATCGTCCGACGACTGTCGTTCTAGCTGTTCCCACTGCGACGACAGTTTGTCGTTGTAACGATAAAAAATGTGAACGACAGTTAATCGTGTCGTTTAAATATACAAGCCACGACACTGTAAACTGCACGACAATCTGTCGTCACGACATAGTGGGAACGCGCCCTAAGGGTCGAAACACACAACTGCGATGCGACGTCGCATCGCAGAAATCTACGAGCTCGCAAGACGCGACGCAAGAATTTGCGAATTGCTTCGCATCGCGCATTCCTGCGATGTTAATCTTCTTTGTGTCTTTTTCCTATTTTTGCTTATCAATAACAGCAGTGGAACACTCATTTTAGGATCCCTCACCGGCAGTGAGACGCTTTGCCGCACGAAATCCCATCGCAGCAATTCGCGTCACAGTTTTCTGCGTTGCAAATTCGCATCGCGCCCATTCGCACTATTGTGTTTCGACCCTTAAGACCGTATGTTATGTCTAGTACCAAAAACATATATTGTGCATGTCATATAGTAAGGTAACCTAATCTACTTTATCAATAAATCTTTGTAGCATATATGTATATAATGACACTTACTAAGCTTTTAGATAACATCTTCGAATTGTTACTTCTGCAATTGTATGAAATTCCCGACAGGGTTTGATCAAATAACTAGATTTGTTTAGGAAGATTGCAAAATCGAGTTGTCGTTGTAATATTCTATTTTTAAAATGTTTTCTATCTCTGAAATGTGTATATATATGTACCAATACACAAGGGTAAAATTGGTACAGTCTCTCAACTGAGCACCTTATTGCTACTATTCTTTTTTTATTGGAAAGGGGGTACCTGAGTACTGGTCGCGTTCAAATTTGACGAAAATATTCCACCTTTTTTTTTGCCTTTGCAATACGAAATCTATGAAATATATAGTATGAAACCGTGCAGGTCCACATCCGCATCTGCATGTGTATGAAAGTGGCCCAATCCACATTAGGCCCGCGTGGGAACTAAAGCCCTCTAATACTGAGAGGTGTGCGCCCAGCGTTGGAACTTTATATAGGCAAACTATTTTTTATTTATAATAATCATATTTAGAATAATCATACTAACGATCGAAGGAATTTTTTCTGAGTGTTTTTTCTGAGTGTTCGATCTTTGTATTAATAATTATAACAAACTAGTGGAGTAATTTCACAAAAAATAATTGAATATCTATTCAATAAAAATTTAATTAATACAGTGAATAGCGACATCTCTCGCCAGGACTGGTAGCTGTAAAGGTACTAACTGGGTGATAAATCTGTAATAGATTTCTCATAGATGGCGCTACGACTAAAAAGTCGTTGAAAGACCAAGTACAAAGACACGACGCAAGCACATAGAAAAATTCATGAGGTCCGTTGGTTCGTTCCGTGGCTTAGTTGGTATAGCGTCCGGCACGGCATGCAAGAAGACGTCGGTTCGAATCCGACCGGATCGAAGGAATTTTTTCTGAGTGTTTTTTCTGAGTGTTCGATCTTTGTATTAATAATTATAACAAACTAGTGGAGTAATTTCACAAAAAATAATTGAATATCAATTCAATAAAAATTTAATTAATACAGTGAATAGCGACATCTTTCGCCAGGACTGGTAGCTGTAAAGGTACTAACTGGGTGATAAATCTGTAATAGATTTCTCATAGATAGCTCTACGACTAAAAAGTCGTTGAAAGACCAAGTACAAAGACACGACGCAAGCACATAGAAAAATTCGGTTCGAATCCGACCGGATCGAAGGAATTTTTTCTGAGTATTCGATCTTTGTATTAATAATTATAACATACTAACGATATCAAATAAATAAATACATAATAAATTTGGCGACGCAGTACGTATCGTTTTAAAATTCAGTTCACGCGGCGTTAACTGTTGTATGGGGTTCGATTACTAATTGAATAACCTATTGAAATGTTATAAATTTTCACTGTTTGTATGTATTTGACGAGTGTGAATTAGTAATTATGGATTTTTGTGTGGTAGATAAAAAGAGAGTTAATTATTGACGATAAAACTGACTTTTTGAAATTCATAATAATAAAAATACTTTTTTTTTATAATGTCAAGTAACGGGACGAACAAGTCGTGCGCCTAATGGTAAGCAATGGTAATTTAGAAAGACGTATTTTTAGTTTATATTTATTTCTATCATTTTTTTTATTTTCTAACATCGGACGACACTGTCCTCTGAGGAAGCTAATATTTTTGCGTACAAATTTACATGATTTGAATGTAAATTTAAGTTAGTGTTAACAAATTGTATTTTATAAAATGCGGTCGGCATAAGTCCATTTGGTCTTATGTTGGCCAGGATTCTAATGCATCTTTTTTGAAGATTTCGTTTTATAATGTCAAGTGACGGAACGAAGCGTGTGTCGTGCACCTGATGGTAAGCTACACGCCTGTCCATAACAGTTGCAGTGCCATTCAGAGCTTTAAATGGCAAAGATCTGAGGGGCACTGCCACTGCGCCCGACACACTGAGACATAAATTGACAAATCCCATGTGCTTGTTATTTCACCAGCAGCCTTCAAAACCGGAACACAGTAATGTTGACATTACAGCTAGGCGGTAGACATATGTAAGTACTTCGGTGGACGAACTAAAGTATTCTTATTGCTTGTCATTTTTAGTCAAAAATTAAGGACATAACTATGAATCAGCAAGGATCATTATCAAAGATCTTGATAATTTCTCACCCCGTATTGAATATTGTATACTTGACGTTATACAATACGGTTTAAAATAACTTCGATGAAAATTACCTTACGTAAAATCAACACGCCTACAGCGTAAGCTAAACATAAGCGTAAGTCAAAGCGAATGGTACGTTGCGAAATCAATTTAGCGAAATGGAGTGAAAGAAAATTTGCGCCATTTGCGCCCTCGTTAAATATGAAACGTTTCACGCGTTCGCAGGTAATCGTCACTTTGCATCTCATTTGTGATTGAAAATCGATTTAATCGCAACTTTCAAATCGCTACATTTGATGCTCATTTCCTTGACACATTTTATATATTAGTAGCAGTAGTTCGTCCAGGGAAGTACTGCCACCATACCTATTTCTGCCGCCAAGCAGTAATGTCAGCATTACTGTGTTCCGGTTTTGAAGGCTGCTGGTGAAATAACAAGCACATGGGATTTGTCAATTTACATATGTCTCAGTGTGTCGGGCGCAGTGGCAGTGCCCCTCAGATCTTTGCTATTTAAAGCTCTGAGTGGCACTGCAACTGTTATGGACAGCCGTGTAGCTTACCATCAGGATTCTAATGCATCTTTGAAAAAGATGCATTAGAATCCTGGCCAATATAAGGCCAAATGGACTTATGCCGACTTATGTTTTTTATAAAATACAATTTGTTAACATTAACTTGAATTTACATTCAAATCATGTAAATTTGTACGCAAAAATATGAGTTTCCTCAGAGGACAGTGTCCTCCGATGTTAGAAAATAAAAAAAATGATAGAAATAAATATAAACTAAAAATACGTTTTTCTAAATTAAAATTAACCTAGTAACAGCCCACATTCTATGTTGATAAAAATTTATAATAAAATGGCAATTAAATGGATAAGTAAAGAAAAATACGTAACATTTATTAAATATTTAAAACAAATGCTAATTAAAAAATGCTACTACTCTTTAGAAGAATTTTTGAAGACAAATTTTACGTAAAAGTAGCGTCAGTATTTTGTACTTTTAGAAGTAAGGTTGGCAGCTATCGATTTGTTTCAAGTTCACCATTATTCGGATAAGCTTTATTGCATTCTAGTCAGGGACAGTGTATTGGTACTATTACCTCATAGCATTAATGTGTACCATTCATGAAGTGCCCAAATAATACATAACCATTTTCAATTTTTTTGAACAAACGAATCGTCTGACAATTTTATGCGACCGACCACCCTGCCGCACAATGTTTCAACGAGGCAAGAGATGCTTTCTCCCGGCTTCTCTTTTAAGAACAGCCATTGGAGTGTATAATTTACTTTTCAATACTGTTTAATTTAAAATATACTAGGCAACTTATTCTTATGGTGCCATAGTGTGACACGGAGTGCTTCTTAAACTTTGTTTGAACGCCACTGTCCAAGCACCGCAGTCACAACATTGTTTAACATGTTCCAAACATACAAAAAGCAAATAAATATTGAAAACCAAAAACAAAGATCTGCTACAAGCACGTAGAAAAATTCGTTTGGTTCGTTCCGTGGCTTAGTTGGCGTAGCGTCTGGCACGGTTTGCTAGAAGACGTTGGTTCGAATCCATCCAAATCGAAGGAATTTTTTCTAAGGGTTCGATCTTTGTATTAATAATTATAACAAACTAATGGAGTCATATCACAAAAAATAATTTAATATCATGATAGTGAAACATCCTTCATAACAATGTGAAACACATTCAACTGACATTCAATATAACATACAAAATTTTATCGATAAAGAAATATAAAGCAGCCTTATGCCTTTAAAAAACTTATAATGTCAGAATTAAAATGTTACGAAAAGCTTGACTTACCGAAACTTAATACAATCTGTACGAAGGCGAGGATTAGCACCGACAATGTAACTGCAACAAAAAATAATAAATCTTTTATTCGTTGTTAACGACAATCCACGGAAAATAAAAAGAAACGCCTGAATTTCTGCCATTAAAATAACTGGATAAAAACAAAAACTGTAATTCAATTCACCACTGGTTGTAAATAAATAAAATCATAGAATTTACAAATAAAATACATTGTTTGAGATTCGAACTCGCTCCTACCTCTCGCGATCATTGTGACGTGAAACTTGGGCGCGAAACTGAAGTCGCGAAGCGTGCAGTACCCCCGTTCGTTACGTTCGTACTGCCGGACGACTGTAGGCTGAATAGAGGCTGAAACGCTGAAAATCTTTGCCGTGCGCTAAAAGCGCGGCGGTTTTATTTTCTGAAAAGTTATTGTAAATGGGCGGGAAAATGCACAAAGAGACCTCACAGCCCCTTGTTATCGGAGGAAGCCATTGTTGTAATGTCATTTTCAGAATTTGAATGAAGTTTAAAAATATCTTATCAAAAACATAAGAAGAAAGGAATCTAAAGTAAAACAGGGAAGCATACTTGGAAGAACTTTTAATTAAATATGAGGTATTATGAAACAGATTAATGAGATAACGGAATTATTTATTGTAAAGCGTACGTACGACGTTTTTGATATCTTTAGGTGAGGTAAGAGTAACACGTTATTTTGAGTCAAATGAAGAACAGATAGTCTTATAAAGAATTTTGGGGGAGAAGACCTTTTAACATTTTTTACATATCTGGTTGTAAAATCTTAAAATTTAGGAAATGAAACTATTTTACCGGATTTAAATCGCGTATATTTGTTTTTTCAAACAAACCGACGTTTCGGGCTCTTTACAGGTCCCATGGTCACGGTTGACTAAGGTGGTACCGTCTTCAACCAGTTATGTCTAATATTAATGCAAACCACCCTATTTTTTCACTATAGTTACAATAGTTATTAATTAAATACCTTATTTTTAATTTTACAGAGAAAACATTCCAATTTACGCTACATTAAGTTTTAAAATTTTTTTTATTGAATATTTTTTTATTAACTTTAATTTATTATTAATTGTTAATAGAAATTAGAATAAACTAAAACATATTAATTAGTACTGCAGTCTTATGTCTCTATCAAAGAACACATAGCTGATGTCAAACACCGTCGCGTAAACAAGTCTGCAGTCCGCGAGCATGTCATGGATAAACCTACACATTCAATGAAGTTTGACAAACCCCAGGTCCTTGTAAAAGAAGTCCGTTATCTACACAGGATGCTGCGAGAGCCCATTGAAATTAAAAAACATCCTAATTTCAACAGGGAAGATGGTTTCTCCGTACCACCAGTTTGGGATCCAGTATTTCCTCTAATGAAAAATCCCAAACAGACATAAAACTGCAGTACTAATTAATATGTTTTAGTTTATTCTAATTTCTATTAATAATTAATAATAAATTGAACTTAATAAAAATTCATTCAATAAAATAATTTGTAAAACTTAATGTAGCGTAAATTGGAATGTTTTCTCTGTAAAATTAAAAATAAGGTATTTAATTAATAACTATTGTAACTATAGTGAAAAAATAGGGTGGCTTGCATCAATATTAGACATAACTGATTGAAGACTGTCCACCTCAGTCAACCGTGACCATGGGACCTGTAAAGGGCCCGAAACGTCGGTTTGTTTGAAAAAACAAATAATTGCGATTTAAATCCGGAAAAATAGTTTCATTTCCTATGTGTAACAATCGCGAAAACCTAAGAACTCGATATCTTAAAATTTGTTTTGTGTGCTGCAGTAATTAGATACATTATTTGATTATAATCATTTATAATAAGCAGGATCAATAAGTTTATAATATTGTCAGAATTCACATTTTTATGAAGAAACTCAAATGTTCGATTAGAGATGTTTACTTACTTCTACAAAAAAGAATTAAGCGACCAAAAGCGATATAAAATTTATTTTCGTTTCTTGTAACAAATAATTGTATAACTTTCTTACAAAAAATAAAAACTGACCTCAAAACTTTGTCGAATTACGTCTATTTGCCAAGTTTTATTAAAATCGGTAACGGAAAGTGGGTGAAATCCAATAAACCGGATTCATCCCCTAATTTACCACCCTTAGAGATGGAATATTTTCTTCAAATTTGAATGGGACCAATACTGAGATACCCCTTTCTAACAAAAAAAAAGAATCATCGAAATCGGTTCACAAATGTCGACGTCATCGCAAAAAATACAATTGCATTGAGAATGTCCTCCTTTTTTAAAGTAGGTTAAAAAATTATTACAATAAATAGAAAATTGAAAATTTATTACAATAAAATAAGACTTAACGATGATATATAACGCCATCATAGATAATAATTACAAATGAGACTATAATTTGGTGCACTCCAAAATATTTTATAAATAAATAGATTTTCATGATTTTGCGCAAGATAATTGGAGTCGTGCCAATTATCTCGCACAATAGCGTATAAAATAGCGTATGAAACTAAAATGGTGGACTGGGCTTAAGCATGTGGAGCTTCGCGTACTGTTGGCACACATGCCACCCAAACTAAGCACTTCTACTGTATTTAGATATTGTTCTGTGGTTATAAGCCTTGGAAAACGTGTGTGGTCCCCAACCTGCATCTCCTTCAAGGACGTATAATAGGTTGATTACAATGATAACATACACAATATTGCAAGATATAGGCTAACAGTTGAGCACCACACGACAAACCAGACCAGTGTTGCCAGGTCCGATATATCAAAATGCTAAACGGAGGGTCAAAAAAGTATGTGAATGATGGATTTTAAGGGTCATAGTGCTTTATAGTTTTACATAGACAGACCTCTATACCCCCATAATTTTCACCACCATTGCAAATCAGTTTAAAATAACCCACACTGAAGGTACGCGAGTTGAAAAATAACTTCCACAACCAAAATTAGAGGACAAGAGGACAATAATACTTTAACGAAGCAAGCAAATAATGTTATACATGTTTGTTAAGACAATACGTGCTCTGAATGGCAAGCGCCAATTATTCGAGAGACAGAGAGATGGTAATACGCGTAATTGTACCCGAAATTAGATAGCCCGAAATGAACACACACATAAATCCAAATATGCATAATAATATTTTACGAAACAATTTGCCTTTAGTACAGGAATACATACTTAAAACTATAAGTTGCATGCTATTGAAATAAGCCTAAGTATAAGATATATCTTATGGACTCATTATAACTATTTATACTAATAGTTTGACTATTTATTTTATTTTATACATTCGGGAAACATCATAATTATAATACAATTTATAGAACACTCAGAAAAAATTCCTTCGATCCGGCCGGATTCGAACAGACGTCTTCTAGCTTACCGTGCCAGACGCTATACCAACTAAGCCACGGACGAACGAGCGGACCTCACGAATTTTTCTTTATGCTTGTGTCGTATCTTTGTATTTGGTTTTTCAACGACTTTTTAGCCGTAGCAATTCAATAAAACATTGAAATACAGCGAATAGCGACATCTCTCGCCAGGACTAGTAACTGTAAAGGTACTAACTGGGTGATAAATCTTTCATAGATTTCTTATAGATGGCGATAATAATAATAATAATATCTTTATTAACACTTTTGCCTCATAATTAGTACAGAGCAGCAATTTTATTATTTATTTAACAAAATTTTATTGGTATAGATATAACGTAGCACAAAATATAAAATAAGGCGTACCAAATTTAGAGATTCTGCCTCCTAAACTAATCAAAGACTGTATCTTAGGAGGCAGTGTTCAGTTAGGGGTAACTATTACAAAAAATCAAAACTTCTATTGAATCCAATCATTATAAAGTATATAAATATAAGTGAGTCTGTACGGTTATGGTTTACAACTACAGTGATAGGCATGCGTGTAACAAAAAAGAAAAAAAAATAAGATTTTATAATTTCTAAAAGGGTGATTCTAATGAAGAAATAATAAAATACGGTTCATTTTGCTAGGGTCACGAAATTAAAGTTATTTGAAAAGTATATATAGTATAATATACGTGTTCTCTTTAGTTCAGTTGACATAAAAAAATCATTGGCATATGTAAAGTACAAACTTATTCAATATAGCCGTTTTCTTGTAAAATTTCGAGGTGAGTTTGTGTTTTTTTTCTATCTTGAAAATTTTTAGTAATCGTGTTTTCACATCAGATGGTAACTGTCTATATAGTAGTGGTAAGTATGAGAAATCAACCGAAGCCATTTGAGGTAGCATAGACTCTTAACTAACGTAATCGACATTTTAGCGAAATTGAGTTATTAACATACCTGGGAGCAGCGAAGTGAGGTCTACAACCGCCTCCAATCGCATTTTCATATCTTATTTAGTTTCAGTTTTATTAATTATTAATACAAAAATCGAATTCTTAGAAAAAAAATCCTTAAATCTTCTTCAGACGTCTTCTATAAAACCGTGGCAGACGCTATACCAACTAACTCAATAAAACACTTAATTACAGTGAATAGCAGCATTTCTAGCCAACGCTGGTAGCTGTAAAGGTGCCTAACTGGTTGACGAAATACTTTCATAGATTTCTCATAGATGGCACTACGGCTAAACACCTATTAAAAACAAAATACAAAGATCCGACAAACAAGCACAAAAAAGAATCTGTAACGGTTTGCTAGAAGACGTCGGTTCCAATCTGGCCGGATCGAAGGAATTTAAGTGTTCGATCTTTGTATTAATAATTATAACAAACTGATGGAGTAATTTCAAAAAAAATAATTATAATATCATGGTGGTGGTGGTGGTGAAACATCCTATCATTCAATAAAAGAATTAATTCCGTTTTATTGTTAAGAAAAATCAAAGTAATTGACATTTTTAAGGTGACAATAAAACTGTAGGTGCCAATATCTCGAAAGTTACCGACATGCCATTGCGTTAGTTATGACAAAGAGGGCAGAATATTCAAAAAAATACTTTCGACGGTTCACATAACTCTAGCTGCGCCCCATACTATAT